CTAGCTTGCCTCTTCTTTACTTTAATATTAAATGATGTTGTGGGAACATACTTCCCGCCTTGCAAAAAGTTATGTATTTAAAGTTGACCGTGAAACCAAGTCCATACTCCTTTTATTGCTATTCAAGTCCCTTTAAACTTCCCCTTCTTGCTGACTCTTTTTTTTTTTTTTTGAGACCGAAGTCTTGCTCTTTCCTCCAGGCTGGAGTGCGATGGCATGATCTCAGCTCACTGCAACCCCGCCTCCCAGATTCCCGCGTAGTTCGCTGCTCAGGCCTCCTTGAGTAGCTGGGATGACCAGGCACCTGCCACCGCACGGCTTGGTTAATTTTTGTATTTTTTAGTAGAGACAGAGTTTCACCATGTAGGGCCAGGCTGGTCTAAGAGACTCCTGACCTCAGGTAATCTGCCTGCCTTGGCCTCCCCAAAGTGCTTGGGTTACAGGCGTGACTACTGCGCGCCGGCCCCCTCTTGCTGACTCTTCTTTTTTTTTAACCCTAATCTGCACTTCACCTATGGAGGATCTTACTCTGAGCAAATTTATCTATTCCATATCCATGGATCACCAATGGCTTTTCTGCTGGTTTCTTATCCTCTTTCCCCTGCCTGGAATGTTCTGTAAGCCCTACCCTCCCTCTAGAGCTAGACTCGAGTCTCACCCTTTCTGAGAAGCTGCCTCCCTGACCATCCCAGGAAACATCATCTCTATCAGTTTTAACCTGATTTTCTCTACATTTCTGTGCTGTTAATTAATTTTACCTCACCAACCACCTGTCTTCCTTTGTGTTGTTAATTAACTAATTAATTTTTTCAGTCCAGGTGTGGTGACTCACGACTCTAATCCCAGCACTTTGGGAGGCTGAGGCAGGTGGATCACCTGAGGTCCGGAGTTTGAGACCAGCCTGATCAACATGGGGAAACCCCACTAAAAATACAGTAATTACCCGGGCGTGGTGGCACACACCTGTAGTCCCAGCTACTCAGGAGGCTGAGGCAGGAGAATCGCTTGAACCCCAGAGGCAGAGGTTGCAGTGAGCTGAGATCTCACCATTGCACTCCTGCCTCAATGACAGAGCAAGACTCCAACTCAAATAAAAAAATAAAAATAATAATAAAAAAATGGAGACAGGGTCCCACTCTGTTGTCCATGCTGGAGAGCAGTGGTGAGATCATAGTTCACTGCAGCTTTGAACTCCTGGGCCCAAGCCATCCCCCCATGTTAGTCTCCTGAGAAGCTGGGACTAAAAACATGCACCACCATGCCCAGCTAATTTTTAAAAATTTTTTATATTTAGAAACAAGGTTTCTCTATGTTGTCCAGGCTGGTCTCAAACTCCTGGGCTCAAGGGCTCCCAAAGTGCCTCGGCCTCCCAAAGTGCTGGGATTATAGGCGTGAGCCACTATACTCGGTCTCTGTTAATTTAATGTGAACTTTTTTTTTGGCTCTCACTTGGAATTTAAATTTTTAAAAATTTATCCAATACATTTTTAAACAAGGTTTAGCTGCACCAGAAAATGTTTATCTCTGAGAATCCTCAAGAGTGTCTTTTTTTGGCCAACCACAGTGGCTCATGCCTGTAATCCTAACACTTTGGGAGGCTAAGGTGGGCAGATCACAAGGTCAGGAGTTCGAGACCAACCTGACCAACATGGCAAAACCCTGTCTCTACTAAAACTACAAAAATTAGCAGGGTGTAGTGGCACATGTCGGTAATCCCAGCTACTCAGGAGGCTGAGGCAGGAGAATCGCTTGAACCTGGGAGGCAGAGGATGCAGCGAGCCAAGATCACACCACTGTACTCCAGCCTGGGTGACACAGCGAGACTTCATCTCAAAAAAAAAAAAAACCATCACCACCACCACCAACAACAACAACAAAAAACACAAAGAGTGTCTTAAAAAAAAAAAAAAGATAGAGATGAGGTCTCACTATGTTGCCCAGACTTGAACTGCTGGGCTCAAGTGATCCTCCAACCTCAGCCTCTCAAAGTGCTGAGATTACAGGCATGAGACACTATGCCCAGCCCAAGATTGTCTTAGTTATAGAATGATGAAGAAAGATGAATTTTTAAAAGTACAAGCTCTTGTCACCCTAAAACTACAACAGAGAGATAATCCAAAGACAATGAATTTGTCAACTAAAGAAAAAATCAAGCTTTTAAAGAACTAAAGTTCGTTTTATTCAGAAGTCTTGGGGAGTGGGACACAGTGGCTCATGCCTGAAATCCGAGGCCTTTGGAGGTCAAAGCAGGAGGATTGCTTGAGGCCAGGAGTTTGAGATCAGCCTGGGCAACATATTGAGACCCGCATGGGCAACATATTGAGACCCTGTCTCTACAAAAAATGGATTTAAAAAAAAAAGAAAAGCCCAGTTTCGTGGTGCATGCTTATAGTTCCAGCTACTCAAGAGGACCCCTTGAGCCCAGGATTTGGAGGCTGCAGCAAGCTATGGTTGCCACTACACACCACAGCATGGGGGACAGAGTGAGACCCTATGTCCA